TTTCTCTTTTCTTCCTCATCATGTATGGTTATACCACGCCACAACGGCTCCTTGATATTGATACGCACCTTAATTCTCAGAATGCGGCACCTCGTCACCGCATCCACCACAACTTCAGCCTCCATAAACTCACCCACTTCATCTCCAATGAGCTCCCCAGCTTGTGCATTGAGCATTCCCAGCGGCAGCTTTGACACCCTGATCCAGACCGGCAAGGATGCAAATTCATATTCCTCCAAAGTCTTCCTTGGGTCAAATTCTTCCAGCACCAGAGCATCCCCTTTGAACATCCATGGACCTTCCTCCATCGCCTTCCTCTTCCCAGAATGCTGCAGAAAAGTGACCAGAAAAACATTCTCCCCATCATCTTACACTCCACTCCACGCATCGGACACCATACTCGACCAATCGAGTTCTCCAGCGCTTCCCCCACCGCCGGCTTCTCCGACAGTACCTTCACCAGGGCCTATGTGTCCCTCTCACCTCTCTTCAATCCCTCCGACCACCCGATTCGCACCCCTTTCTTCTCTGCCTCTGACAACCGTAGCTTCTCCATCAACCCCGACAACCTCTCCATTCGAACCTCGAACCAGAAAACAAACTAGACCAAGAGATCCAGAGACTTGGGACCTAGGGTTCGCCGGTGCTGAGACGACGGCGCGCCCCAGCCGCACCCCCACGGCCTATGGTGGTGGGAGGGAGGGGGGAAGGGGCGGAGCTCAGCTGCGAGGGGTGGGGCTGCTGAGGGAGGAGGTCGGCGGTGGTGGGCGGCGGCGGCGGCGCACGAACCAGGACGGCGGCGGCCTCCCACAGAGTCGCCTAATAAAACGCCAGAGACATACCAAACCGTCACCCGCTGGGACGGACTCGTCACCGATGCCAACATCCTTTTTGGGGCAAGTCTATGAGCCAAGAGAAGAGAGAATAGAAAGGGGATCTACTTACTGAGGCGGTGAGGAAAATACGAGAGTGTTACGCGTGGCCGCGTGGATAACCTGTACGGGTTTGTTTTCTCTACTAGGGCCTATTCGGTTTGGAGGATTTTCATAGGAAAACACATAGGAACAAGGATTCCAGAGGAAAATTTTCTATAGATGCATTCGGTTTGTAGGAAATGTGTACAGAAATATCGTAGGAATACTATTCATTTCCTCCGTTTTTGGAGGAAATTACACATCCACTCAAAGCTCATTTTACGCGTAGGAACGAGACGAGTCAAATCCTTAGGATGGCAAGTGCCATCCTATAAAATTCCTATACTAGTTCTAATTCCTACATTATGAAATCCTCCAAACCGAATGAGCCCTAAAAGAAACATAAGGTTCCCTCTCCCCTCTTACGTTAACCCTTTTCGTCCGACTCTCGCTCCCCGCATCGTTCCACCTGATTTTCTTTTCCCTTGTTTTTTCCTCAATTAAAAAACCGTATTTGGTCTGTCAAGAAAGAAAATTCACAACCCGGCCCGCTCCTCAAGTCATCATCTGCTGCCCCAGTCGCATGCCCGTAAGGGTTTCCATGCCTCCAGAGCGGCGGCGGCGGCTGATAACACTTTCGCCAAGGCGTCGGCCACTGCGCTCCCCTGCGGCGGGCTCGAGGGGATCTGTGCCAGGCGTGTGCTGCGGAGGAAGCAGCTGCCCTCAGCAACGGCGGCGTGGGCGTCAGAGTTCTCCGCCCCTCTTATGCCATGAGACCAGTAGCTACACCGGATCAGGCCGCTCGAGGTGGACGGGGTTGGAACCGAGGTGTATTCCCTGACCAGCGCTCCTACCTCAGCATGACGGCGTCGCTCCTCCAACTTCCCTCACTGATTATAGTCTTCAAAATTTTGGCTCGTACTACCACCACCTTCTCTACGCAGGTAAACTCAATCTGGTTGCTCCCGCCCTCCGCATGGAAAAATTAGCTTTTCGTGCATAGCTGTTAGATAGGGAGAGATCATCAGATGAGAAGGGTTCATGCATACAGCAAGCGCGGTGCACTCACTCATACATGTCATCTTGACTGCAAGTGCAATTAGCCAGTCCATCGGCCTCGTGCATGTGACTGCACATGTCATGTGGTCCTTGATCAAGTACTTAACTGAGTGAGAAAATTACTGTGGTTAACTTCAGGGGAATAGAATTATTGCAATTTCTTCATTCAGGAATCAGGAGCAAATTATTATGCACTAGCACTAATATGGTTACCTTCGATTGGTTTATTGCCTGCATGTGCTTTTTCAAGTTTGTTTGTGTGTTTTCTCTTCTGGTTGTTCCTTTTCTGCAAGTGTTGTCGTATAAACGGAAATGAAACTCACTTTCTATTTTCCAGATGTATAGGTAAATGTGAGTCGGCCTTCAAACTCGCCAAAAACCGATATGTACATACATTCAAGGGTTATCATTCTCTTAAATCTCGATGAATTTATATCTGTTTACATTAGGAACTGAGGGAAATAGGAATCATTTTGTTCGTGATACTTGGTTACATGAGCTTTTTCTCTTCTATGTAGGCCAAAATTGTACAAAGTTATCTCCTGAAGTTATATCGAAGGTGACTTCTATGAGGTAACCATCTAAATTACTTTTTAATATTTGTTACAGGCTCTTGTGTTGAAGGGATTTTCGCTTGGTCAGTCTCTTAGCTTTTAGTATTTCAAGAATGAATTTATAGATGTTGCAGTAGCAGGGGATGAAACTGTTAAAAATAGGGACAATGGTGTTCAAAAAAATAGGTACTACTATCCGCTTCCATACATTTGGACTGATGTTCTGTGTCCATTTTAGGTTCTGAAAAATGAAATGCGGTAAAAAGTAAAGCCCAGTTGCAGCAACACGTTTAGACTGCAATGAAGAGGAGCCATTGTTGGTCAGGCTGCAAGGTCAATAAACAATGTTAGTCCATAATGTTGCTTAATATGGATGAGAATCGTAAAAGTTATATTTTCATGGATTGATAATGCACCTCTAGAATGCTTAGACCCTGGTGCAACGCACGGACAATTACCTAGTTTCAGAAAAATAATACTAATGGGCTTGCATGCTCGGTCTATACCAGCCCATGGTTTACGAGTACAACACTGTTTCGCACAAATACATAGACCAAGCACACTCGCCCGTCTTCTGTTTCAAAGGTAAATATGATTTGATTCTGTTAAAAATAGCGCCCATCAAGTAAGGGGTCAACCCTTTGAAAAATAATAATCAAAAACATAAGATAAGGCTAGGATCAACACTACCTGTACCTGCATATGTTGCATTGCAATATAATTCGTTTTTATTTTACTAACATCCAAATAAACAATCATACTATCACCCACAAAAAAAAACAATCATATACTGTGACATAACCACTCAAATCTAATCAACCATCTTGCTGTAACTCTCCAATGAAGCATTTTTGAAGTAGTAACGTCAAAGCAATCTTCCAATAATGTCATGACCTCAAGTGCAAACAAACTGATATAGTCATCACATCAACACAAGAGTATGTTCCACTAATAAACAAGTACATGCATCTATATACTCCTTCCGTTCCATTTTTTTCTTTTTTGAAGTTCTACGTTTGCCCTGAGTCAAACTTACACAAGTTTGACCAAGTCCACAGAAAAATAGTTTTACCTACTATGTGTATTTGGTGTCGAACGAGGTGAGGGATTCTTTTTAAAGGTAAGGGAAGTTCAATGTATGAGGGTTGTTTTTTTTACTTAAAAGAGACACGGTAATTATCCAAAACCTGATGGGCCTATAACGAAACCGAACGGCCGGTGTAGGCTTGATCAACTAATATTATTGATCTAATTTTCTAAATTTCAACTGAAATTACCTTATTTTATAAATTCATCTAAAAACAAAAATTTATAAACAAAAGAATATGTACAGAAACCTTTCCTTTTGCGCTCAAATATATATGTATACTAGCAAATCCATCACATGGAATCATACATTTGACAAAATAAGTGAGAAAAAATAATGGTTCTGGGAATACATGAAAAAAGTGTAATAACTTTAATCACACGAAGTAAAAAAATATTATGAATATGTCCTATGTATGTTATTATGTACAATATACAATAAATCAAATGGAAGTTTGAGTCAATAAATATTCGAAACATATATAAATAAATGGAAAGTTGTAAACCAATCATCCATATACAATAAAAAAATAGGTAGGCAAGGTTTTTTTTAATTCATTACAAGCATAGGTCTTTCAGTATTGCTCTGACTGATTATAGCAATGTAGTCAAACGACATCAAAGGACAAAATAAATGGAAAAGGAATGAAGAATAGATGGAGATACAAAGAATCATATACAAAGCTAAAAGAAAATACAATGAATAAAACTATCAAAATCTAGCCGCGCAAATGCGCGGGCGCACCCGCTAGTTCTCTTGACTCGAGAAGACATCCAGGTGTGATAATCTCAGCGTTGCCCTCTTCTTGTCTGATCCGCTGATTCTTGGGAATTAACTTAACCGACACTTTATAATAGAGATCGGCGACTTCTGGTTGCCCGTGTGGATACTACTCTATTGTTGTGGCGACAACGCGGAACTCCACCAGTGGCAACTTCGGCACACCATTAACATGCATGGGATGAAGAGAATGATAGATTTTTCAAGGATTGGATTGTATTTTTTTTCTCCTTTTCCTTCTGAAAATTACTATTAATATTGATGTTTGATTAATTTAGATTTAGAAACATGATTACACTAGTACTAAGATTGCTCGATCTCCTTGACAGCCGGCGGTGGTTGCATCTGCACCAATCATCAGACTCCAAAACTACTACTCCCGGAAAGCTTCCAGTCAAACGGGAGCAGATGCTACGCGTCCCATCCCTGTGGTCTGTCCTGTTGCCAAACGCACCCTTGTTCCCCGCCTGCGACGGCAAGGCAGCAAACGCGATTACGCAAGCTTAGGTTTCGTCTCTCCCTCCTCTGTCCCCTCCCCACCTCGTGCCCCACCCTACCTCCGGCGCGCGACGAGCGCGAGCAAGAGCGCTTGGTAGATAGATCCCGATGGCCTCGCGACGCCGCACGCTCCTCAAGGTCATCATCCTCGGCGACAGCGGGTTGGTGGATTCGGATCTCCCGTCCTCCTTTTAGGCTATTGCGGTATTGCCTCTTCCAGTGTTCGCTCTGCTGACTGACTTTTTCTGCTGATTCACCGCGATCCAGGGTTGGGAAGACGTCCTTGATGAACCAGTATCCTGCAATTTGAGTCGCCGTGGACTGATCGCTTCGGATTGCTTGCCCCCCCTTTTTGTCGAGGTCGTATAGTGTTGGATTTTGTTTTGTTTGTGTTTTCCTGAGCTTTGATGCAATTCAGATATGTGAACAAGAAGTTCAGTAACCAGTACAAGGCTACCATCGGCGCGGATTTCCTCACAAAGGAGGTGCAATACGAGGATAGGCTCTTCACTCTGCAGGTATTGTGCCTTCTTTTAGCAATTCAGCCTATGTGGTCCTGTAACGATGCTTGGAGCAAGTCATTCTTTTTGGACAACGTACTCTTGCAATTGCATCGAGTATCTTTATCTTTGATTTTTGAATCTCTAGATGCATTTTATTCATTCACCTTTTGTTATGCTCTGGGGGTAAATTGATATCAAAAGAAAACGTATTTGCTAATGCAGAATCGCCTATGATGGTTAAAAAAGAGTCAGTGTTGTCAGTACAGTAAAAGATTACCTAATACTGCAAGTTATCCATCCAAGTGTCAAGTTGGTACTCTAATTTTGTTTCTTACCATCGGAATCATAAATCATTTTCTGTAACTGGCATTACCTTAATTACCAGTAAAGATAGTTTGCATCTGTTAATTTTTAACTATATAAGCATGTAGTATCACCATAGACCCTCTTCCCTTTCCTCTTAACACTGTGCATTTGAGTTGTTGCCTTGTTGGGAGCTGGGGTGTCTCTACTTTATCACAGAAGGAAGAGCTACTAAATGGAAAATTAAATATGCAACCCATAATGTCGGTTTCCGGTTTTTTGATTCAGAAAATTCTTCAGTGCCTATCAGCGTAGTGACCCATATGCCAGTTTCCATCACAAAAGAAATATGCAACCCAGTGACCCATATGCCCATAGTTTCCATCACAAAAAAAGGTGCAGTATGGATAATTAAATATGTGACCTATATGCCAATTTCCATTTTTATGAATAAGAAGATAATCCAGTGTCCATTCTGCTAGAAGTTCACTACAGTAAGATCTGATGGACATGGAATTATCATTGGCAACATGTAGCCCTTCTTTCTCTCATTCAAATACATGTATCGCTTTTCTTAAAGGTGGTAGTTGTTGAATCTCTAATTAAGTACATTTATATGGTTCTTAATAATTATATGATTTTTAGTTTGAATATGCTTAGCTCTTCTGCTGCTTTATAAATGATGATAATTCACATTCTCTCTCTGTAGATATGGGATACTGCTGGACAGGAAAGGTTTCAGAGTCTTGGTGTTGCATTCTACCGTGGAGCAGACTGTTGCGTTCTAGTTTATGATGTCAATTCAATGAAATCATTTGATAATCTGAACAACTGGCGCGAAGAATTTCTGATCCAGGTGAAGATTTCTTGTTGCTTATAATGAGCAACACAGTATGATTGGATTTCTGTCTCACCTACAAATCCAACTTTTCAGGCTAGTCCGTCTGATCCTGATAACTTCCCTTTTGTTCTGCTGGGAAACAAAGTTGATATTGATGGTGGCAATAGCCGCGTGGTAATTAGCATGACTAATTTTCTTCTCAAAATTATTTTCAAGCCATGCTCTGCTAACGGACTTGTCTACTGCCATCTTAGGTCTCTGAGAAGAAGGCAAAGGCTTGGTGCGCCTCAAAAGGCAACATCCCTTACTTTGAGACATCTGCGAAAGAAGGGACAAATGTAGAAGACGCTTTTCAGTGCATTGTAAAGGATGCTCTGAAGAATGAACCAGAAGAAGAATTGTAAGCGCGTTCTCTTGCTTGCTCAGTACTTGAGTATCTGTTTAATACACATATAGGTAGAGGATTTGGATTTACTATTGTTTAAACATATATGCATTGATGCGATCATATGTTATTTTTGAATTGCTAGCTTACCCATGTCAGCCTTTTTTGCTTCACCATCTTTTGGTCCGTTGTTTTCATGACATGTACTTTAGCTAGGGTGTGAGGGATTGTTTTGTTTCATGAAGGGTGGCTGAAAGCCTCAAGTTGTGTTTTATTTCGTTAGCACGCTATCATGTTTATTCCAAAAAAAATGCAACTGACAACCTTAAACTTGTCATGTAGGTACATTCCTGACACTGTCGATGTGGTGGGTGGCAACCGCACCCAAAGATCATCAGGCTGCTGCTAAGCCATGCCACGCCATGGCCGTAGCAACCATTGAACATGCTGTCTTTCCTGCCTGTATAATATCATGTTATTCTGTATTCCATTTGTGACTTGACCAATCACCCCTTCGGTACGAAATCAAGGATCGATGATCTGTCCTGTTCTGTCTGTCATCTTGTATGTTGTGTAGTTTGTTGTGAATGCGGCGGAATGAATAATATTGTCCGGACAATGGTTCCTCCGTCTGTGTATGTGTGGAGCTATCTCCAAGAGTGGGGGCACGTTTTGGAATGCGTGGTCGGCACGGGTGCTCTATCCCTTATCTGTGACCAGGCAAGTTCAGACTGCAAATTTTATCTTTACGAAGGATATTTAGATGCCATGCTAAGGGATCTCAGGATCTGTCACTATCATTTGTACAGATCAGAAACCCCAGTGAAGTAAAAGAAACCAATAATTTGATGGACTCGCTTTTGCTCCGCTTTTCTGCAATTTTTGTGTCTTCTCCGTACTTTTCCCTTCCACACGATCTTTTTGATCTGCTAGAAGATGGTGCATGCGTTCTTCATCTTCCCTGCTCTTTTGGGCCCACTTTGATTCAAAGGATTTTGGAGCATTGAACTCCTTAGGAATTTGGGGGGTGACGCATGCGGTTCATGTAGCCCTAAAACGCCCTCGGTCGCTCCTGCCTAGGGTGACTCGAGGGTTCCTCCTCCCGCAACCAAAGCGCCGTCGTAGTTCATCTCCTCCCCCGCGTTGCCGCTGGAGGAAGCCGCCGGGCGAAGCCCGCGCGGCTGACGGTGGCGGCGGGGATCTCTCTCGCGGCATCCCTTGATCTGCAGGCGGCAACATTTGGTGGAGGCCGCCGCGACCCGATCTGTGCGGTGGGCGTACGGGGTGGGTCTCGGCGAACGGTGGTGGGCTGTGGGGATCGGACCTCGTCGGGCGGCGGGCCTAGCCAGGGTCGGTGGATTCGTCCATATCGGCCCATCTATTGGCTTCGTCCAAATCGAGGACTGGTCAAAGGGCGACGTCATCTCCGCGGCTTTCAGCGTTGCCGGCGCCTTCAGCCACGCGATGATGAGGTGCCATCGGGCGGCAACCGTGGAGCAGCGCGACCTTCCTATCTCGAGGGTTGAGCCCCATGGCACTCTCTTCTCTGTAGGCTCCGGTTGACAACTCGATTGCAGGATCCGGAGCAAACAGAGATTGGTGGTGTAGGATTGGAACCGGAGGAAACTTTGGTCGGCTGGTTCGGCCCGTCAGCGGCGACGTCTTTAAGCGTCGTTATCCTCCTTGGAGGCGAAGCTGGGGTCCATCCTATCCACCCCTGACCCCCTCCTCCCGGACGAAAGTCCAAAGTCCGCGTGATTGGGCGGCGGCGACGCCTTGCGCGTCGTAACCTTCATGAAGGCGCCGTCTGGGGAGGCTTGGGTGTTCAAGAGAGGGCTATTCTGGCAGTGGGCTCCGGGTGGCATGGGGCGGTGGCGGTGGTGCGGAGGTTCGCAGGTGGAGCGGCATGTCATCTTTCACGTGAAGACGACGAGTATTGGCGGCACTGTGCAGCTGGATCTCAATGACAGATGTGTCTAGATGGGCGAGGGCGTGGCGTTGGCATTGTTTGGCGCCGTGGCGGGATTGACGGCAGGCCTGGCAAAGTTGATGCATCAGTACCTAATCTGAAGAGATCGGTGGAAGATGGTGGCGACAACCCAGAGTGCGTCAGACCGGTTTGTGCCCCACACTCGGCATGTGGCTTGGTTGGGGTCCTCGACTTTAGATGTTAGGCTTAGGTGAGAGGTCTGGGTATTCGGCTTAGACTTACTACACCCCTTCATCAATTGGATAGGAATAGTGGCAGATGTTGCCAAGATGGTGGATTCACACATATTGATGTTGATGTATTACTTTGTAAGGTCTTCATGAATAATTCATAAAATGGCTGCATTCATCTCCTAGTTGCAAACGCCGGTGGTCATCCTCCTTTAAAAAAAAACGCCGGGAGTCCCCCGAGCTCCCCTGCCCCTTGTAGCTATCGGAGAAGGCCGCTTGGTGAAGCTCTAGCGGCAGGGTCTTTTCTGCTCGTTTACGGAGGAGCGGCTCCAGGCTTGGAGGTGAGGTGGAAGCTTTCCATGGTCGCCTAGGGGTAGTCCGATGATGAAGATGACCTTTTTATTCGTGCTCGTGCCACAAAATCATAGGAAGTTGGTGGGATAGAGGGGGACTATAGAGTGTGAGATGGCCGGATGTGTTGGGGAACGTAGTAATTTCAAAAAATGCCTACGCACACGCAGGATCATGGTGATGCATAGCAATGAGAGGGGAGAGTGTCGTCCACGTACCCTTGTAGACCGTTAAGCGAAAGCATTATCACAACGCGGTTGATGTAGTTGTACGTCTTCACGATCGACCGATTCTCAGTACTGAACGTACGACACCTCCGCGTTCAGCACACGTTCATCTCGGTGATGTCCCGCGAACTCATGATCCAGTAGAGCTCGGGGAAGAGTTTCGTCAGCACGACGGCGTGGTGACGATGTTGATGAAACTACCGCAACAGGGCTTCGCCTAAACACAACTACAGTATGACCGAGGTGGATTATGGTGGAGGGGGGCACCGCACACGGCTGTGAGAGATCTTTGTGATCAACTTGTGTGTCTAGAGGTGCCCCCTGCCCTTGTATATAAAGGAGCAAGGGGAAGGCCGGCCGGCCCTTGTTGGTGCGCCTGGAGGAGGAATCCTCCTCCTAGTAGGAGTAGGATTCCTCCCTTTCCTACTCCTACTAGGAGTGGGAAAGGAAGGGGAAGAAAGAGAAGGAAAGGGGGGCGCCGCCCCCACTCCTTGTCCAATTCGGACCAGAGGGAGGGGGCGCACTGCCTGCCCTAGGCCGGCCCCTCTCTCTTTCCCTTATGGCCCAACAAGGCCCATTAGACCCCGGGGGTTTCCGGTAACCCCTCCGGTACTCCGGTAAAATCCTGATTTTACCCGGAACTCTTCCGATGTCCAAATGTAGGCTTCCAATATATCAATATTTATGTCCCGACCATTTTGAGACTCCTCGTCATGTACGTGATTATATCCGGGACTCCGAACTACCTTCGATACATCGAAACATATAAACTCATAAAACTGATCGTCACAGAACTTTAAGCGTGCGGACCCTACGGGTTCGAGAACTATGTAGACATGACCGAGACATGTCTCCGGTCAATAACCAATAGCGGAACCTGGATGCTCATATTGTTTCCTACATATTCTACGAAGATCTTTATCGGTTAAACCGCGTAACACTATATGTTGTTCTCTTTGTCATCGGTATGTTACTTGCCCGAGATTCGATCGTCGGTATCCCAATACCTAGTTCAATCTCGTTACCGGCAAGTCTCTTTACTCGTTCCGTAATGCACTATCCCGTAACTAACTCATTAGTTGTATTGCTTGCAAGGCTTATACTGATGTATATTACCGAGAAGGCCCAGAGATACCTCTCCGACAATCGGAGTGACAAATCCTAATCTTGATCTATGCCAACTCAACAAGTACCATCGGAGACACTTGTAGAGCACCTTTATAATCACCCAGTTACTTGTGAAGTGTGCTAGCACAGAAAGTGTTCCTCTGGTATTCGGGAGTTGCATAATCTCATAGTCATAAGAACATGTATAAGTCATGAAGAAAGCAATAGCAGTAAACAAAAACGATCAAGTGCTAAGCTAATGGAATGGGTCAAGTCAATCACATCATTCTCCTAATGATGTGATCCCATTGATCAAATGACAACTCATGTCTATGGTTTAGGAAACTTAACCATCTTTGATCAATGAGCTAGTCAAGTAGAGGCACACTAGTGACACTATGTTTGTCTATGTATTCACACATGTATTATGTTTCCGGCTAATACAATTCTAGCATGAATAATAAACATTTATCATGAAATAAGGAAATAAATAATAACTTTATTATTGCCTCTAGGGCATATTTCCTTCAGTCTCCCAGTTGCACTAGAGTCAATAATCTAGATTACACAGTAATGATTCTAACACCCATGGAGCCTTGGTGTTGATCATGTTTTGCTCGTGGAAGAGGCTTAGTCAATGGGTCTGCAACATTTAGATCCGTATGTATCTTGCAAATCTCTATGTCTCCCACCTGGACTTGATCCCGGATGGAGTTGTAGCGTCTCTTGATGTGCTTGGTTCTCTTGTGAAATCTGGATTCCTTTGCCAAGGCAATTGCGCCAGTATTGTCACAAAAGATTTTCATTGGACCCGATGCACTAGGTATGACACCTAGATTGGATATGAACTCCTTCATCCAGACACCTTCATTCGCTGCTTTCGAAGCAGCAATATACTCCGCTTCACATGTAGATCCTGCCACGACGCTCTGTTTAGAACTGCTCCAACTGACAACTCCATCGTTTAATATAAACACGTATCCGGTTTGCGATTTAGAATCGTCCGGATCAGTGTCAAACCTTGCATCAACGTAACCATTTACGATGAGCTCTTTGTCACCTCCATAAGTGAGAAACATATCCTTGGTCCTTTTCAGGTACTTCAGGATGTTCTTGACCACTGTCCAGTGATCCACTCCTGGATTACTTTGGTACCTCCCTGCTAGGCTAATGGCAAGGCACATATCAGGTCTGGTACACATCATTGCATACATAATAGAGCCTATGGCTGAAGCATAGGGAACACTTTTCATTTTCTCTCTATCTTCTACAGTGGTTGGGCATTGAGTCTTACTCAACTTCACGCCTTGTAATACAGGCAAGAACCCTTTCTTAGCTTGATCCATTTTGAACTTCTTCAAAACTTTATCAAGGTATGTGCTTTGTGAAAGTCCAATTAAGCGTCTTGATCTATCTCTATAGATCTTGATGCCCAATATATAAGCAACTTCACCGAGGTATTTCATTGAAAAACACTCTTATTCAAGTATCCTTTTATGCTATCCAGAAATTCTATATCATTTCCAATCAAGAATATGTCATCCACATATAATTTTAGAAATTC